GGTTTTTGTCGCTGAATTGCGACTTAGTAAATGATTTATAATGAATAAAACTGCTGTATATTTCTATATCCATTTTCATTTATCTAAGAAGCTAAGTTATATTACAAGGTTAATTGCACATATAAAAAACACGTATTTTTTAACCTATTCTCTATCCTTCCATTGTTGGATATAGGTTTCCCCCAGTTCTCTCCATCTTTCCCTATCTTGAGCTGTTCTCTGCTATGTGGGACCTCCTTGTTTCCTAATGGCATCTTTCCACCTCATCTGTGGTCTGCCTCTTGATCTCTTTGCATTGTATGGACGCCACTTTCCGATGGCATTGTTCCATCGTCCGTCTTGGAGACGTTCATTGTGTCCAGTCCATTTCCATTTCAGTTTTGCTGCTTGTTTTATCGCGTAAAAAAACACGTATAGATTCATAAATTTAATGAGAAGTATGTGGAATCTGATTTTCAAAAACAAGAGTATCAATGTTAATTTCAATATTTGTTGTTGACAAATGAAGCAACTAATAAAGTGAATTATTAGAGAGCAAAAATCTGTATTTGGATTTTATAAATTACATGTTTGAAAAGCTGCTTTCACAAAGGTGCATGCTTCCAAGCATGGAACCCATTCTAAGACCAAATTTTCTTAAATTGGAATAACGTTCCTCCAGTAACAATTCAAAAAAGTCCAATTGTCTTTCAAGTCTTCCCTGGTAAAAAGGATCTGACTATAAATCCCACAGTTCCAGTTGAGGTCAGGTTTTATATTTTTAACACAGATAGTCAGCGGTTTTCTAAACAGTGAAATATCCTCTTGAAAAGGGTTGAAAATGAAATTTCACCAAAGTCCTTCATTTCTTCAAAATGCTCTTTACAGTTTGGAAAGAATGTGAAATGTTGCTTCTCTAATATAGACTTGAAGAGCTTAACTTTATTTTAAAATCCTTTAATATGACCATACAAGTTGACAATATTTTTGTTGTTTTTCTTGAAACTTCAAGTTTAATTCGTTTAGGTGAGAGGTCATGCCGGTTAGAATTGCAAGGTCTGATAAGAAGTTTGCTGCTTCCATTTCATTTTCGAATTCCATAGTGATGGACTACACTTTTTTTCTTAGATAAAAAACAATATTTTCTTACGTAGAGCAAAGAAAGGTTGCAAACGGTTTCCGGTGCTTAACCAACGAATCTCTATGTGTAATAATAAGTCCCTATATGCAGCATCTACTTCAGTCAAAAAATCACGAAACTTCCTGTGATTGAGTGCTCTATTACCACCTCTGATAATGTTTATTTAAACAGCAACTCTCATGGCATCTGTTCTACGTAAGGATTTTTCACATAAGGCCTCTTGGTGAACAATGCAGTGCATAACAGAACAGTTATTAATATTTTGTTTAAAGAGTTTAGTAAACCCAGTTTTACTATCTACTTTGGTTCCATCGATTACAATGCAGGAACATTTATTCATTTCTCCACAGTCAAATACGGCTTTTTATACCGCATCGAAAATATCAGTTCCTATGATTGTTCCATGTAATGAAATTAAACTGAGCATCTCTTCTGCTACAGTGAAGTCGTCTTGAATAGTTTGAACAAAAACTATAAGTTGACTAATATCAGATTTACTTACTTTCATCCAGACACAAAGAAAAAGGCGTACATTTTTTAATTGTGTTATACAACTTGTTTCTTAGTTGTTTGATCAGACGCTGCAACTGTTTTGAATTTCTCGATGATTTTTGGTTCACGAAATTGTACTGCCAATTTGATTGCACAGTTATTTAGAAGGAATCTATCGCTAATGGTTTTTTGCTTTGGCAATTTCAAAAGCTACTTTATAAGAAGCCGCAAGACTACAGTAAAGATCACTATTTGACTTTTTAAAAAGCTTGTTTGTTCCTTCAGTTTCTTCTTATATTCCATATATATATATATATATATATATATATATATATATATATATATATATATATATATATATATATATATATATCGGTTTTAAAACGTTCTCCTACGTCTTCCGATGCCTAGTCGCCATTCACTTCGGTCCATCCAAAGGTCTTCATCTAATTCTCTTTCTCTCATACTTCGATTTATGCCTTCTCTCCAACTAAGGCGGGGTCTTCCTCTTTTTCGTCTACCATGAGGGGTCCACGTTAGGATTTGTTTCGGGAGTCGTTCTTCGGACATTCTTTGTCTTCAAGTTTTCTCTTGTATCTTTCTTTTATTTGCCATACTTCACTGCTGTAAGTGATTATACTCTTAACAATTGTATTGTATGTTCTATGTTTGTTGTTGTTTTGATATTGCCTGGTCCCACAGTATGCTATTGAGAAGGGTAATTGCTTTTTTTTTCCCTGGTTGTTTCTTTCTTCTATCGTCCGGTCTACGTTTCCTTCTTGTGTGATGGTCATACAAAGGTATTTATATGCGTCGCAATGTTTAATTTTTTCTTATATTCCACAATTATTGTAATTCTAGACTCGCCAGTATATTGTTGAAACTTATTCTCATGCAACGAAGTATACCTGACATTTTATATTATATTCTTTGCTGACAAAAGCTTTGGTGGAAACTGACAAAACTTGCATGCAGACAAGGCACTGTAATTTATTATTATTGTTTGTAATGAAATAGTCGGTTTCCCATCGGTCGTTAAGTATACGCTCGGTGTTCTTCCGCTATTTTTCTTTTTTAAGAAGACATAGTTGGTTCCGTACAACTATTATTTATTTTTAAACTAAATTAATTACAATAAGCAGTTTAACCCTTATAACTGGTCACTTACCTCCCTTAAAAGCTAATCACATTTACAAATATCAATAGATATCGTCTGTCTGACCGCTCCAAAACTATTTACATTGATAACGACACCAAAAAGTTGTTACAACGGACAAGCGATGCGTTAGAGGAAAGAGTAGAGACGGTTTACATACAGCGATGCGAGTTAAAGTAAAAATTCTTTAACTAGTGATATTTTTCTGCCTACTGTGTTTTTTATAACATATGGTTACATATAGTTACATATATTCGGGATTCATGCGTTTATATTTTCTAAACGCAGAGCATCCATCAGCGTGCCGCAAAAAATGTCATAGTGCGACACATGCAGCAAGCGGGCCTCACATTGGACAGCCCTGTCGTAGATATCTGAGATGAGTGAATTTTCTTTTAGAGGGAGTAAGAGCCAGATAACTATCATATCAGTAGGTTATGGCTACGGGGCTCTAGGCACAATGGATGGGGACTCGTTATTAGTTGTCACTGCTTATCAGGATATCATTTGGCTAGTAACTTCTCATTGAAATTGGCAAGCATACTACTCGACACAATTACTTCTTTTATTTTATTTAGTGCATCAGAATGTCTGTATGTCCATACCAATTTATTCTTTTTTTTTAAGAGTTCTCTTAGGGCGTGAAAATCTCTGACAAGTTTGAAATTAATGCTCTTAAATAATTTACCATTCCCAAAATTTGTTGTAATTCCTTTTTACTTTCCGGATCCCTTAATCTTCTTATCGCTTCTACTTTTTTGTTGTCAGCTCTCATCCGTATTAATCAAAGATATGACCCAAGTATCTAACACTTTCAACGCAATATTGTATTCTGTTTGGCTTAAATTTCCCATTTAGTTCTCTAGCTCTATCTAACATCTTATTTAGTGTATTATTATGCTCTTTTATTGACTCATCACAAGTTAATAGCTCATCTTAGTAGACTATACAACCTGAAATATCTACAAAATTTTCAGAATTTATTTTCTGGAAGTATTCAGGTGCTATGTTAAGGCCAGATGGCAGACGCAAATTTATATGTACCAAATATAGTGCCAAAAGCAAATAAATTACTGGATTGCTCATCCAGTTCTACTTGGTAAAAACCCTCCTTAAAATCTAGAACTGTAAAAAATGACTTACCCTGTAACATTACAGGTACTGTAACACAGTAGGTATAATACAAAATTTCCTTTTCAATGCCTTGTTCAGGTCACGAAGATATAGGCATTTGCTATGATTTAATTAATTTTTAATTTTTTAATTAAATTTAATTAATTAAATTTTTTAAATTATAAATTTAATTAATTATTTAAATCTGTTAAAAAGTGGTCAAAAGGCTTTCCTTCTTCTTGAATGCACTTATAAAATAAATATTTTTTGTAAACTACGTTTTTTCTAGGGGTGACATAGGACTAAAACACTTCCAATACGTCTGCTAGCTTTCCTTATTGGAGCTCTGTTAATTCCAAACTGTTATAAATCTCAATGCCTTTTTCCAATAGCAAAATTGCTACCTTAACTTTATCACTTTTTTCTGATGCCGTTAGATATATTTCAAAACTCTGCTTAAATCGTTTAAAATTTTCGGCCACATTCCCTTCAAATGGTAATGGATTTGGTAACCTTGCTTCCATGATTTTCGATTAATTTCCACTAGACTGCGCCAAGTAATAATATTTCATGGTGTTCAATACATTTATTTAAACATACTTTTTAACAAATGTCTGCAAGAATCAACAATATCAAAATTTCCATGTTCTAACAAATGATGGCAAATGGATCAAATATGACAATGGCCAAATCTGGATAATAATACTACGTAATGTGCAACATATTAGTGTAGTAGAAATAACTTTTAAGAGTTTATTTCTAGTAAGAACAAAGTTGAGCTGAGATTTAATCCTTTTGGTATATCATTTTTTTTGGGTGTTTATTTAGGAATATATTCTGTTAACTCGAAGTTGGACTTTTCTGTTTTACAGGAAATTTAAGATATATTTTAGTATGTTTCCTCTTACTAACCCATCATCATATGTTTTAATTACTGATTATATCAAATTTTTTCATGTTTTGTTTATAGCGCAGAATATTGCGATTTAAGGTCCACAAGATTTTCTAAGGAGTGATGTTTTCTTATATTTTACTGCATATAAGTTAATAATTACTTTTCACAAGGAAAAATTACAAAAACTAACCTCTTTTTTTTTAATAATTACTTTCTTTTTTCAGAGACGCACTTTTAACGAGTGTAATAAACTCAGCCACTAGTTTCATCGCTGGCTTTGTTATATTCTCTGTGCTGGGCTACATGGCTCACGCTGCTGGTAGACCAATTCAAGAAGTAGCCACAGAAGGCCCGGGATTAGTTTTTATCGTGTATCCAGCAGCAATAGCTACGATGCCCGGCAGTATATTTTGGGCGTTGATATTTTTTATGATGTTGCTCACACTAGGTTTAGATAGTTCGGTGAGTATTATAGTAAACATACTTTTTACTATTTTTATTGGGAATAAGCCACAATTTTACATTAAAATAAGTTTATTTGACGTATCGATTTTCACTTCGGAAATTGTTCTCAAAATACAAAACATTGTGATTTTGGAAAGGATAACAAAATATCATAGAAATAAACGTACAAAATCAGGTTATTTCTGAGCATATATAAAAAATAATGCTTGTACTTAAAAATTTCTATAAAATGAGAATTCAAAGATATTTTAGACGATTTATATACCTACCATTTTATTAGTTAAATTGTATTTAACCTGATCTACCTATATTGCAGTTTGGTGGTTCAGAGGCCATAATAACAGCCCTCAGTGACGAGTTCCCGAAAATTGGACGAAACAGGGAAATTTTTGTAGCGTGTTTATTCACCCTTTACTTCCTAGTGGGCTTAGCATCGTGCTCTCAAGGAGGATTCTATTTTTTTCTTCTACTGGACAGGTACGCCGCTGGCTATTCTATGTTGTTTGCCGTATTTTTTGAAGCTATAGCAGTTTCATGGATATATGGTAAGTAAGGTTATAAAAAATGTTTAATATTTTCTAAAATGCTAAGTAATAATAGTTTTAAATAAGTGACACTATTAATCTAAATGTACCAATCATAAGCAATGAACAACGTGGCGAAGAAGTAGAAACAATAATAACTACAAATGATTAACAAGCAGCAAAGAACTACTGTTCTGTAAAGGATATGTTTGTGCATTCGTGTGTACGAGTACAAAAGCCATTGTTCTTAAGTCCTTTTTGGCTGCCTTTTGTAGATTTGTATATCGACGCGTTAAGTGACTAACCATTAGGAGTGACCAAGGTCACTCCAACATATTTTAAATACCAACGAAATCAATAAACTAGCTCAATCTACTGCTGAGATCTTTTCTATTACCTGGGATTTTAATCCGCCCGGTGCCCCTCATTTTAATGGGTTAGCCGAGGCTAAGGTCAAATAATTCTGAATCCGTCTGAATCGTTGGCAATTAATCCAAGGGATAAGGGGGGACTTTTGGAAAAGATGGTCTAAAGGGTATATTCATTATCTTCAAGAGCGATCCAAATGGTATAGTCCAACCCCATCTCTCACTAAAGTTTCTCTAGTCCTCATAAAAAATTAACAATAGCCTCCTCTTCGCTGGCAATTGACCAGAATCACTGAGTTGTATTGCGGCATTTACGGTATTGTACGCGTTGTACACCAAAAACGATTTGTAGAAAAAACAATTTTTTAATTCAACCTGCTTAAACTTATTTAAATTGTGACTGAAAAAACTTGTCCTACTTGTCCTAAAAAAGGTTTAAAGTAATTCTAGGCTTACTACACTCTTTCAGTACCCTTTTTAACAGTAATAGCACTAGTTTAATTGAAAAGCATTATTTTCGCCAAAAATGTCACTTACGTTACTTTTGCCAAAAATGTATCGATATATTAACTTATTATAATATGGCTTTAGTTCCACATTTTTTAAATTCTCGAACTCAAATTTGCTGATTAATTATTGTAAAGTTCTCAGAATTCACTTGTCTAAAAAACAACGTGTTTATGATAAACTATTTATCAACCCAAATACACTTCAGAGTCCAAAAACGTACCCGTCCTTTGTGTAGAAAGTGTAAAATGACATTTTAAGCTGGTTTTATTATGATTGGATCTATTGTTAATTTGACACTTTAACTAAAATTATTTCAATTAATAGATGTTCAGATAGACGCAAAATTTATTGTGAAATTTAATCCGAAAATAACAAAAATATTTACGCAAACGGTCCTACAAATAAATACAATAAGTTCTATGAAGCCAAAAGGTGTTCATAAGACATTTGGGTTGGGTTTCCGTGAAATGTAAACACCAAAGAGGCGTGCCGGGTTTCTTTGATATTACACAATTTTATTACTTTATTAGTTACTACAACTGTAATAAAAAGAAATATACTATTTTCAATATAAATGAAAATAAATTGGCAGAACGATGGTTCAGAAACAAAAAAAAAGGATCTAATATTTCACTTTGTTAGTTTTAAATATTTGTTTGCTTTGAGTGGATGTACACCTAAAGTTCCGAAGGTAACGGGTATAACATACCGGCTATTGATAATTAAAGTACCAAGTCGTTACAGATATTAAAAAGTAACGAAAATTTATATACAGTTTCATATATCGCTGACTGATTTTAGTTTTTAAAAACCGTCCGTATAGAGGTGTCCGGTGAAGAGAGGTGCCGTTGAAAGTTTAGTTTAGTGTATTTATTTATTGAAGCCAAAAATATCGAGACGTGTTTTAGATGTAGACAACTTTATATTTAATCGTTGATTGAATAACTTAAATCAACGATTTAATGTACTTTTTTATGGTGAAGTTCTGTGAATCTGATGGTTAATGATAGTTTTAGGAGATTAGGAGAATAAGTAAGATTTTTTTGTTTTTGTTTTCTTAATACTAATTGAATATTAGACTAAATAAATTACATGGTAAATTACGTGGGAAATTCCTTCAGACAGACTAATATGGTTTAGGAAGATATCATTGCACCTCTATGCACCGACCACCACACATTCTTCTTCTTCTGGTAGCACTACAACCCAGGGTGGGTCTTGGCTGACTGCACAACCTGCTTCCATCTCGAACGGTCGTCCATGATGTTTAAGTCAGTGGGTAGCCCCATTGTTCTCAAATTTGACCACATATTATCTCTCCATCGCATTCGTGGACGTCCTAAGGGCCTTCTCCCTGTCGGGACTTCTTCCCAGATTAACTTGATAAGGCGGTTATTAGGGAGCCTATGAACATGGCCAGCCCATCTTAGACGTTGGGATTTAATCTCTTGGATTACGTCGCTAGCACTATACATTTGTTTGACCTCGGCATTTGTTCTAATTCGGTATTTATTAGTATTCGGATCGTGATAGGGACCGAAGATCTTTCTGAGGATTTTTCTCTCAAAGCATCTGAGTTTACTTTCCATTGCTTTTGTCAGCGTCCACGTCTCACACCCATACATTAGCACCGGTCTATCACATCTGATCCCTTTTAATGCTGTTGTATGCTTGTCGGAAATCTATGAAGAGATTATGAGTGGTTCTATTGAATTCCCATCCTTTTTCAAGCAGCTGCCTGAGAGTAAAAATCTGATCTATGGTCGATCTATTTTTTCTGAATCCGGCTTGGTATTCCCCTATGAAATTTTCTACAAAAGGTGTTAGTCTACTTAATAGGATGTTCGATAAGATTTTGTACGCCGTATTAAGTAGGGAGATGCCTCTATAGTTAGAGCACTTGGTTTTGTCTCCCTTTTTATGGATAGGAATTATTACACTTTCGTGCCATTTTGTTGGTATTTTCTCTCCGTTCCATATAAGTGTTATTAGTTTGTTTAATTGTCTATGTAAAGTTTCTCCTCCGTACTTAAGAAATTCGGCTGGTATATTGTCAGAGCCTGGAGCTTTTGCGTTCTTCAATTTGTTAATTCCTTGCAATGTTTTGTCTATTTGTGGGTACTCTACCGGTAGGTCCACCCCAAGGTATATATCCTCTCCATGTTCTTCATCTTGGTGTATATTAAGTAAATTTTTGAAATATTCTTGCCATATTTGGAGTAATTCTTGTTCGTTGATTATTAATTCATCATTATTTTTCCTCAGTACAGACAGGCAGTTAGGTCTGAATCCTCTCTTTTCGTTTGACACAGATTTGTAAAATGCTCGACTATTTGACTGTTGTCTATTTCTTTCCATTTCTTCATACTGCTGTTGTTCGTATTTTCTTTTTTTCTCTCTAATTAGTTTTCTTGTTTCTCGTCGTGATGTTGTATAGTTTTCTTTACTTTCTGTTGTTTCTTGTTGAAGCATAGTGTTTCAGTTTTTCTGTCTGTCTTGTAGTTTTTCTTGGCATTCTTTATCAAACATTTCCTTGTTTTCGTCCTTCTTTTTCCTATTATTAGTTCTGCTGACTCTGTAATTGATTTTTCGATTTGTTGCCACAGCCTTTCGACATCATTGCTCTGGTCTATTCTATTTAGATGTTGTTCCATTTCCTGTAAGTAATTGTCTCGGATTTCCTTATTTTGCGTTTTCTCAATGTTCCACTGTCCCAATGCTTCGTTCGTTTTAAGTTTCTGTGATGATATTTTCAACCTGATTTTTGTTCTTACTAGGTAATGGTCTGTATCTCCATCTACGCCCCTGAGGCTTCTTACGTCAAGGACATTACTTCCGTGTCTAGCATCAACAATTATGTGGTCAATTTGGTTCCGTGTGGAGTTGTCATTAGAGACCCAAGTCTGTTTATGAATGTTTTTAAGTTGGAACATAGTAGACTTTACAAGCATATTGTTAGTCGATGCTAGCTCTACGAGCCTTTGTCCATTATCGTTTGAGATGTCGTGGAGACTGTGTTGTCCTATTGTCGGTCTTAGGTTAAGTTCTTTGCCAATTTTTGCGTTGAGGTCTCCGCAGATTATTTGCATGTCTTGTTTGGGAATTCTCTCCAGCGTTCTTTCGAGTTGCTCATAGAAGTCATGATTGATTGTTTCTTCTTTATCTTCTGTCGGAGCATGTGCGGATATAATTGTGATATTGTACAATTTTCCTTTCAGTCTGATATAACATAGTCTCACTGATGGGCGTAAAACTTATAACACTGTTTAAGTATTCTTCTCGGACCACAAAACCTGTGCCGAATTCATGTTTTCCTGTCTGGTTTCCACTGTAGAAAATGACCGCCTTGTCTATTCTTATGTTTCCATTGTCCGGCCACCTTATTTCTTGTATTGCTGTAATGTCCATTTCTACTTTTTCTAACTGTTTTACTGCGTGTATGGCTGCTCCTGTCCGGTACCAGCTTAAAACGTTCCACGTTCCAACATTCAAAGTCCTTGTCCATTGCGATTGTCGTTTTACATATGTATCTGTTCGATTCCGAGGCACATTTGCAGTTTTCATAACAGGCTGTTTTTTACAAGGGCAGGTTGTTGGCCTTCCGCTTAACCCTCCTCCTTTATCCGGGCTTGGGACCGGCAAAAATGAGTGTTAAGCTACTCGATCCACCCAACAGTCATTCCAGGCGGAGTTCCACCACACATTAGGATGAAGTAAAAGAGCTATTTTATAAAGAAGTTTACGCAGTAGTTAGCAAACTGAGAGAACAATAAAATAGGTATATCAGTCACAGTGATGATGAACGACTGAAATACAAGGGTATAAACTCCAGCACTGAACGAAATGGAAATTCGTGGAGTGGGAACAAAAAATGATAAAAATGATAAAAATCGTATTTGGTTTTTTTAACATAAAGGTCCCTTTTTCTTCTGCTAGTGCCTTTCCTCTATGGATGTTGACTACTACAAAGGTCACTCCTCTTTCTTAATTTACTTTATTTAGATTTCCAGAGTACAGCATTTTATAATTATCATTAATATTGGTTTCATCTGCTCTGGACGCTGGCATTGTGTATTTCCAGCTGAAATCTGTGTTTTGCTCATGTCTGTCAATGTTTCGTACATTATAGCATCTCATTTTTCCACACTGGTACAGTAGTCGCCAAATATGAAGAACCAAGGGCGAGCATTTATGATACTTCGAGCTCGGCCACCGGGTACATAGGTACATACAACGTTGTGAAACAGTGGCGTGCATATTTTCACACATGAAATTAATGGGTAATGCTATAGAATAAAATAAAACATCATTTTTTTCAGGTAATATATTTTCAATCAAAATTACTATAATAATTTTATTTTTTAGGTTAATTTAAACCCTACTATCTTACTCATTCATTTGGAAAAAAGAATATTTTGTAACTTAAAAGAAAAGTGATTAAATTATATTTTCAAGATCTATATAGATGAAATCAGAGTTATATATATTTTAGTTAAATATATTACAACATAACCTAAAAAATTATCATCTATAAGACTATAACAACCTAAATTATTCACAAGTATTAACATCGTTTTGTATAACACTTAAGAGGTCGCTGGTTAAATGATATTAAAAGTGAAACGAACAAACCATGAAGTGGAGATATCCAGGAGTGGCTAGTATACATGTTGAATACAAAGCACGTGGTGTTCGTGTGTATTAAGGTATAAAAAATGATTATTAAAAGCTTAAAATTTTTATTTTAAAGAAGATCTTTTCGGAATTGAATCATTCCATCATCAGTTTAATAAAAAGTTGTTAAAAACATTGTATGGCCACATAAAAACATTGGAAGGACATCCGTAATAAAAAGCATTCCTCATGGTATTTATAAAGGTAAATGCAATAGACTGTCAACTTGTTGATTAATAAAAACTGACAATGGGGGCATCTTACATGACCCCCTGTATCTGGTGAGGTTTTATCGACTTACATTACCTCTGATCTGTGCTGGAGTCTAGGGCTAGATCTTTTCTTATCAAGCCTGTTATTTAAATTTTCATTTCATAATTTCCTCTAAGTGCCATTTATTTTTGGTCATTGTTCTAGCTTAATTCCTTTATCGTTGTTTAATATAGCTATATATTTTATTTGCTATGTTCACTATTTTATGTAGTAGTTTCTGTTATTTTCTATCCCACTTTATTGTTGTACTATTAATTTACACTTTATGATACAGCATTTTGCTTTTCTGCTTTTTGCAACGTCTCTTGCCTCCTTTTGAATCATGGTTTTATTATCTGTTAATTCTGAATGTATAAATTTTTCTTTTCCTTTTAAGTTTCTTTTTGTTTTGAATAAATGTTTAAATTTAATAAGTATTTTTTTTCGAATGTTTTGTACTTAAAGTAGCGATTCTTTTATACAAAACGAATGACGCATATTTTAAGTCGTGGTTTAAAGAGACGTTAATACCAAATTTACCAAATAATGGTTGTGGGAATGTATGCGTCGACAATGCATCGTATCACTTCCGTAAAAAGAGATTTCCTAACAATTCCTGGAATGACTAGTAAAAAGAGACATTGTTTTAATACCACTTTTAAAAACGAAGAGCACGTCACACAACAACAAAGCAAAACGCACAATTATGTCACTCATGCCGTCGAGAAATCGTAAACTAAGATGTGGGCCGCGGACAACCTGCGAGATGAAGTAAACCAATTGATTATACACACGAACACAGTGAAGAGAATTCGACATCGCGGATGTCAACGCGACATTAGTATAATTAAATATCTGTGAGTAACCTGATTGTTTTATAACCAATGAAATGCATTTATCAATTCAATTCGACTACGAGCTTTTCGGGTCTTAGGCTGGATGCACAGAAATTGACTATTTTTGAGTATTTTCCCGTTGGAAAGTAAGCTATTCGATAGCTTACGAAAAGTTGGAATAAAAATGTATAAACCGTTTCGCTCTAAGACAAACTGTTTGGATGTCACAACTATCCAAAATGTGAAAATTGCCACTTTTCTAACGTCAATATCCAAAAAACTAATTATGGTTTTTCCATAATCGATATATGAAATTCCTGGAATTCTCACTCCGTATAGCTATCAAAAAAGTAATTGAAAATATGTTTTTAGTTTATTAAAGCATACAATTTTAAAATAAAATTCTCTCTATTTAAATTCATGCCTCTTATTTGACTATTTAAAGACAATTATTTGTAAATAACAGAATAGGCAAGGACAACCAGACCTGCGAATTTCTACGACTAATAACACTTGCTTGGGCGGCATATGGTTCACTAAGAGACATCTTTAAGAGCAACAACCTGATAGCTATGAAACGGAAGACATTTGATCAATGCGTTCTCCCTATTATGACATACGGAGCAGAAACTCTCACGCTCACAAAAACAACAGCACTAAAAATGCGAGTGGTACAAAGGCGAATGAAAAGATCAATTCTCGGCGTGACAAAAAAAGACAAAATAAGGAATCAAGACTTAAGGAAAAGAACAGGTATCAGTGATGTCTACCAGAAAACTAATTGACTGGCGCCCACGAGAAGACACACGCAACAGGACGACCACCAACACTATGGATGGACGACATTAGACGAATATCCAAGAAATGGCAACAAGAAGCACAGAACCGTGAAGAGTGGCGACACATGGTAGAGACCTATGTCCTGCAGTGGACAGAAGAGGTTGCATGATGATGATTTGTAAATATATGTATTTTATAATAAATATCTAATGTTTCCCTATTTTATTCAAATTTTCGTTATAAATTAAAATCAAAAAAAGGAGTTTTACTCGTAATAGAGCTCCGCCATAAAGATCTTTGTACGGTTCTGTACGTGACCACTACTTAGACCTTTGTACTGCCACGCACATAACGTGCGTGGCACGTAACTGAACTACACCCTCAGTGCGAATTTCACTTTAGACAAGTCTTTTATGCTTTTTTGCAGGTACTCAACGATTCTGTGATGATATCCAAGACATGATTGGATTTTCTCCTGGATATTATTGGAGATTCTGCTGGAAATTTGCAGCGCCGGTGTTTCTGTTGTTTATTATTGTTTACGGGTTGCTGGGATACGAACCCCTCTCCTACGAAAACTACGTGTATCCTGGTTGGGCCAACGTCCTGGGTTGGGTAATTGCTGGATCTTCCGTCTTCATGATTCCTGCGATTGGACTGTACAAGTTTATTGTTACGCCAGGATCTTGTTTAAAGGTAACTAGCTATATTAGCTATTTAACAGTATCATTTTTGCAATTGTTAACCGTATATACGTCACCGAAAACAAAAAATAAAGAATGGAAAAAAGAAATAAATCAATCCACCCTGTGTTTACGTATAGGGAACCCTTATAAAATGTAGCATATTTTTTAAAGACATATTAAAAAAATCAATAAATATTGGGTTTTCTGTCCGTCTATCTTGACCGTCACACTTTTCCGTTACCGCAACACCAAGTCCAGAGTTTGACGCATCTGTTTGCAAGTAAAATGGTTTTAAAAAATCCAGGAATGCTAATACTGGTGCCGATATAAGTTTTGGTTTAAGCTCTTTAAAAGCGTGTTTCTGTTTATCGGTCCATTTTCATTTTACTCTCTTTTCAGAAGCATGTTTAGTGGTCCAGCTATTGTCAAATAGTTTTCTATGAATAGGCGGTACTATGAGGTTAGTGGGTCTTTTTCGCATTCTCTTCTTTTCCATTTCCAAGTTCTTTTCTTAGGACTCTATCTAACTCCATTGGATTGGAATGTTTCTTGGATTTATAAATTATCGGTCTGTCTGTGTTGGTATACAGTAAATAAAATATTTATATAGAAAACTTACGTGAGACTACTGCACTGATTTATTTCTATTTAATGAAATTCACTTTAAACAAATTGTTAGACTGAATTACTGCTATAAAATCATTAATAAATTCAGTTGTTCCCAGTTCAAGATAGAAAAAAAAAACTATTTGGAACACTACTTTAATCGAAACGTCCTATCCTTTACCCTGTAAGTATCCACTAGAAATCACTATCCTTATTATCAAAAGCCGACCTTGCTGCCCAATTCCTAATCCCCACGAACGATTACCCATATTACTCCCCGGATCTTTGTTTATTTCCATATCAAAGGAAACTAAACTGACTACCCTCTTAGGATTATTCAGGATAATATTACGGAAAATACGTATAAAATGTGGAGGTTTGATTGAAAACAAAAAGTGGGAATGGTTGTTAGATCGCCGTAAGTGATTGGTTTTGGAAATTTGTTTGCCTGTTTTAAAAATAAAAATTACATAAATAGTAGGTATATAGAAATGCACCAAATTTGATTTTTCATGTGTACCCAATAAGGTTTATTTTACTTAACTGAAACTTAACTTTACTTTACTGAAACTTAAATTACGTATATTTTTTTTATTTACAATTAAGGCGCATCAACCTATGTGTGCCTTGCTCGGTATTACAATTTTTTTACATTTTTTGATACTTAATATATATTGATTTTGACATACATATATTTTTACATACATAAATCTGAGTTAAACTAAGTACATTGGTTAATAGAAGCATTGACTATTAAACATTTATTTGTACACGCACTGATGTTTATATTTGGTTGTATATTTCTATTGATTTTAGAAAACTTAAAACTGATGAATAGATACAGTTTTCTTCTAGACACTCTCGTAGCGTAGTCCGTAGGTTACACTTTTTCCTCTCATTCGTTAAAACTGTTGAAACACCTACCGCACATTGGATGAACACTTCCAGTAATATGGTATTCACGTGTTATGTGTGTTTGTTTTAATCTAAACTAATCTCAGTTTGTTTATAGTTTGGTCTTTCCTGTTTCTAAACTTATTGTTTTATCTTGTAACTGTTGTTTTTATGTCTCGTAGTTTTTGTTGAGATTGATTCCATTCTTGAAGCCAGTGATAAAAATCTTTCTTATAGGTAGGTTCTGTCAAGTCTTCGTTATTAAATGAAGATTTGGTGGCAGCAATCCATTCTTTCATTACCATCTATACCTATATGTGACGGAATTCACATACATTTTACAATCGCATGCTTTTGCTGAAGTTGGTACAAATGGTTCTCCTGTATATAGTGTGCTAAAATTTGAGATTTTGTATGAAGCAGTGTAGTCGTTGTGTCTGAGGGCACATCACACTCCTTTTTCTGATTTGGAGGCATCAGTATAAATATGTTGGTAATTCTGGTACTCATTAATCTTACTGTAAAATTGTTTAACCCTAGAAGAAGCATTAAGTTGATTACTAGTCTTTGTTAAACTCAAGTTTAGCAAGGGTTTTCTGACCATCCATCCAAGGAGGAAAGGTTACAAAGGTGGTGTGATATATTTTAGGAAAGACAATATTATTACTGGTCATGTATCTATTAAGTCTTTAATTTGAGATTAAGATTAAGATTAACTGGTAGACCGTTACACTATTGAAACGTAATTGATTTAAGATCTAATAAGCTTTTCCCCAATTTTTAGTAGATAGGACTTCCATTATGTTCAAATATTGTTGACAAGATGTTTTAAGATAATAAATATCTTGCTGAAAATTTAAATGTTGGTCAAAATTAATTCCAAGGAATTTGATACAATCAACATATTCTATTTTTGTATTAAAGATTGTAAGTTCTGGACTAACTACTACTCTACTAAAATTACATTTTCTGATGACATAGATGCATTTACTTTATAATCTTAGGCGATGATAATATGAGTTACCTCTTTTATACCTATATCAGTATTCGGTGGAAAATAAATGTTACAGATATTAATAATTTTTGGAGTTTTGATAATTACTGCTATTGCTTCAAGTTTGGTCTTTATAGATTTGTCTAGATTCGTTTTTTGGCGTTGGTTTATTTACATCTACATCTTTATTTTTGTATTGTTTAGATTTAGTGTCTTGTACCAAATAATTTGATTCTGAATGGATTTGTGCTGAGTGTTGTGTTACGTCGGTTATAATGTCTGCTGTAATCACTGTGTTATTTATTACTGAACTGGAGTTTAATTTGAAGCAGAAAGTTTGAGGCGATATGGTCAATCTTTTTACAAATATACCAGGAGGGTTATATACCCACACACACACACATATATATATATATATATATATAATATATATATATATATATATATATATATATATATTTCCGCGGTCAGATGAATTAAAATTACTTAGTTCTCGGGAAGAACCGCGTTGAGAATTTATTACTCGACGTTTCGGCTCCCATTTTGGAGCCATTATTAAGAGTGATACGGTTCGGTTTGAGTTTGGGGTCTCAATCTGCCTACTCCCCTTACTCGAGAGGTAACAGTATCGTGTTCTGTATTATAAATACAAGAACTGTCTCTCGGCACTGAGGTCTCAATCTGCCTACTCCTCAGTGTCGAGTGACAACCGCTCTTACCCTATGTCGCTGCTTTTATACTTATTATATTATATATGTCGCATTATATTTACAATAATGTTGTTATTATTGTCAACGATTACAGAGCGAACTGGTTTTTTAAATATATTACTCATTTCTTTTAGTTTTTTGTGCACATTAAATAAGTCGTGTGGAGATGTTACATTATTATTATTATTATTATTATTATTATTATATAACAAATAAGGGCAGAGGAGCGAGCTCCTATTATGCCCAAAAAGCAAAAATAAACAAAAATAAAATAGATCCTTATAAAACTAATACTAATTATAAAGTTAAGTAGTTAAACAATTAACGAAAATTGAATTGTGACACAATAAATAAATAAATAATGCTGTCCGAGAAAAAATATCCTATCCTATAAAAAAAATAAAGTGCTGTCAAGTTTATTTTTAAAGATGTTAACACTAGCTGCCGATATGGTGTTTTGATCCAAATTGTTCCATATATTAAAGATTCTGTTTGGCAAGAAGTTCGCCCTGGACCTTGCAGTAGTTTGTTCCCTCTTTAATTTGTATTGATGGCCTCTTAATCTATCGTCTTCATTTAAAGTAAATATGTTGTTTAGGTTCCCAAAATTATGTTTTAAAATACGGAAGGACATAATTAGGTCACCTCGAAGACGTCGCTGCTCGAATGTCGTAAGATGAGCCATGAATAGTCTATCTTCATAGTTAGGTCTTACACGGCCATATGCCAGTCTTGTGGCTTTACGCTGAACGTTTTCAAGTAGAATTTTATCGCGACTAAGATCTGGATTCCACACTGGTCCGGCAAACTCAAGAATAGGTCTAACGTATATTGAGTAAAGTTTACTAAAAGAGGTTAGAGATATGCGTGCAAAACACTTACGAATCAAAAACAGTTTCGAGTTAGCACGTTTACACACCGACACTATGTGATCAGACCAATTTAAGTCACTATTAATTATCACTCCGAGATCGTTGTGTGAGGTTACAGAGTTTAAAGGATGTCCATTAATAAAGTACGGAAGTGATGGGTTATTTTTGCCGATATGTAAAACAACGCATTTTTCAATGTTAAGCGGAAGTAACCATTCTGAGGACCATTTGAATATTGCGTCAAGATCTTGTTGAAGAATATGTTGGTTAATAGTTGGATTCACATATAACTTAGTGTCATCAGCGTAAATGGAAACCTTACTGGATACAATGAGCGGAAGATCACTAGTGTAGACACAAAAAAGTAGCGGTCCAAGTACTGATCCTTGTGGAACTCCACTCTTGACTGGCTTATCTAATGAGTGGTCTTCCCCAACACGAACCCTGAAGTATCTGTCGGATAGAAAATCTTGTATCCAAATGTTTAATTTTCCGCGGATACCATAGTGATCCAATTTAGCTAGTAATCGACGTTTTGGAACACGATCGAAAGCTTTGGAGAAGTCTAAGTAAACTACATCGACAGGATTCCGATTGTTTAAAGATAATGACCAATCATTTACACAATGAAGTAAGTTTGTGATCGTTGAACGACCTTTGATAAATCCATGCTGTTGGTGAGGGATGACATTTTCTTGAAGAAGGAACTCGGACATAGCTTCCGAAATAATCGATTCCATGACCTTGCTGACAATAGGAACTAGGCTGATTGGACGATAATTATTGCAATCAAGTTTATTACCTTTCTTGAATACAGGAGTAACTGAAGCCAATTTCCAGGACGAGGGGAGGGAACCTTGATTAAAAGAAGCAGTCATTATGAGAGATATAGGGATGGCTACAGAATCTGCACATTGTTTGAGGAAAAAAGAGGTGAGTCCGTCTAATCCAGGTGATGAATTATTTCGCAGTTTCCTTAAATGATATTTAATTTCATCCGGTATGAAAGATATATTGTCAAGAGTTTTAGAGAAACGAGGGCACATTATTTGAGGAATGGTATCGTTAGATTCATCTGTAAAAACTTGAGAAAAGAATAACGATAAACATTCCGAAGATTCGTTATTCGAAGAACATAAAGACCCATCAGCTTTTTGAAGCAATGGTATGGAGACTTTAGAAGATAAAGATGTACGAATGTACCGATAAACTTTTTTACTATTACCACTTGCAATGATAGATTCCTCAAATTCTGTTCTTAACTTTAGCAAAGATTGTTTGACTCGGTTAGAAAAATTACGGTGGGCGAGAAAATCATCAGGGGAACCAGTGAGTTTATATCTTCGCCAAAGCTTTCGCTTATGTCGAATTAAATGAGTAGCTGAGAGGTTAATCCAAGGTTTTAGTCGATTTCTATATACCTGCCGTTCGGTTGTATGATCAGAAATTGTTGTAATAGCAGTATGAAGAAAAGAGTCCCACATTGACGATGGATCAGAGTGATTAGGAAAAATAGATTGCCAGTTTATCTGGGATAAAACTGAATTTACATCAAAGAAATTTACATCCTCCATTTCGTCGCACCTTTCCCTCATCCATTTTTCTTTGGCTAATTTGATCTCCTTTTTATTATTCTCTGCAGGTGTCAATATTCTGTTACATTAGATTTTATCAGTCAACGTTGTTCCATTAATTTTAAGATGTCGTCTGTCATCCATTTATTTTTCTTGATTAAATTTTTTCTATAATTATTGTTTGTGAAGATTTCTGGGTTATTACTGGGTTAACTGGGTTTTTAAATTCACTCCATAGTTCTTCTGGATCTTCTAGTTGATCTCCGATATTTTTTATTCTATTGTTAAATTATTTTTTGACGTAATGTTTTATGTTTGTATCGTCAAAGTTAAGTACATTGGTTTTTGGTTTTTGTCGCTGAATTCGTTTTAACCTTAGTTTAACATCTGCTACAAGTGGTTGATGATCAGATCCAATATCTGCCCCAGGATATGTAGTGACTTTTTTGACGGCATTTTGGAAACGCTCCTTTATAAGTATGTAGTCTATTTACTTTCTTGAAGACTAAAGGTTATTGCCATAATCAAATGGGGCTTTTCAAGTGTATAGTTGTCGCTTGGGTAGTTTATACCAGGTGTTTGCAATGATCATATCGTTTTCTTTACAAAATTCATAAAATCTCTGTCCTCGATCGTTAGGTTGTCCTAAACCATAGAGACCTACAGTCTGACCTCGTCGACCTCCCCAATTTTTGCATTGAAGTCGCCTATAATATACAAATTTTTTTGTTTATTAAGATTCTATAAGATGTCTTCGACCTGATCATACAACTTCTCGACTTCATCGTCATATTTTCTATCTACATTCGGGCATGGATTTAAAGTATGTTAGTTTTAAATGGTTGAGTATTTATTTGGAGTAATATTATTCTATCTGAGACTGGGACGAAATTGGTCACATATTTACTCAGTTCTGATGTTACTAATATACCTACACCATTTTTGTGATGCGGGCCTTCTGTGCTGTTACCGGAATAATATAACACACTTCCGCCCTTTTTACATGATCCTGACTCTGGCCATCTCATTTCGCTGATTTCCGGTAGGTCTATTTTCATTATTTTCATTTCTTAAATTGCGTTGTCAAGTTTCCCAGTCGCAAATATACTTCTAACATTTCATGTGCACATTCTAAAATTAGATTTCTTTATTTTTAGGATTTCTTCACGAGGTTTTCACATGTTTACGACCTGAGAGGCCTGGTGGTATAAATATGTTTCTCCTCTTCTGCCGAATATTGGCCTCCGCTTTTCATAATTAGTAACGGTTTGTAATTGCCGTGTCAATTCTATGGTGATTTTTCTGGGGGTGCTCTATGACCCGTTAATGCAGCGGTTCTCCTTTGCCTTCTGCATTCTTATGCCGTTGACCATTATTTGTTGACTCATCTTCCTTCGGGGCCGATTTCTCAACCCCAAGATAAAAGAATGCCCTACCACTCACCAACTCATCCGCCCTAAGCCGTTGGCCAGTAAGTGGAGGATTGCTTATACCGGCAATCACTTGGACGTCAGAGTCTCATTTGTTATCTAGCAGGATGCACCGGATGGCCATTATCAAGATCAAGACATTTGGATAGAAGAGGCTATACGTTGCGCATCACTATCCCTTGCATCCCATTTCCAAGTTACTATTTTTAATTTACTCATAATAACATATCAAATTTTATAGACAAATTTACACAGATAACAGAACTCTAAATGGAGATTTTTTTGAAGATTACATTCCGATGTTAGAGTACATTTCCTAAAAAATGTGTCATTGTATACCAGTCTCCTACTCTATAGGCGTTTTATATAGAATGCAATACTACTTCCTATTCAAATACTCTTTTCGGTATTATATTTATATTATTCTCCTTTTGAGCAGTTTCGTGTATTGTTAAAGAAATAAAGAGTTTTGTAAAACTAATGTGTGTATCTGTATTACCTTTTATTTACCACACTACCTAATCAATTATTGCTGTAAAAGAGCAAAAATCAACAACCAAAGTATTAGGCAATATCGATATGTTTTATTACCTGCAAAATCACGCTAGCTAATCAGCAATGCTAGTTTATGGGGCCACTAACGTCAAACTATCATATATCATTAGATCGTTAGATCACAAATTAGATACTCTAACTAAAAAACATTTTTTACAGAGGCTGAAAACACTAACAACACCATGGCGTGATACGCAACGGGGCTCCCAAGTCAACGGAGTGGTACAATCAGAGAGTCAGCAAGTTCGATTGTCGACGCCTGAAGTTCCAAACCAGGCGCCGGTTGAGGTGTGAGATAAAAGAATTACTAAATTTAAGGAATATTACGTTTAGAATTATTTTTTTTTTTGGACATAATAATAGGCTTGGGTGTACAATTAGTTTGAACGAAGTCTGGTATGGGTTTAGTTTCTAGTTTTGGATAGAATTTATAACTTAAAATAGAAATCAAATATAAAACAACATATTTTAGTACTAAATAGTGACATTTACCGTAAAGGTCTGCACTTACTTAAGCTAGTAGCACTAAGAACGATTATTATTAACAATTCGTCGAACACTTGAAACCATGTTTTATTATTTAAGTATGCTCTGGTTTGTATTAATCAATATCTCAGTGTTATATTATTACAAGAATCGTAACCTCATAGGTTACTCTGTGATAAGCAAAAAACTTGTCGTCTCAATAATTTAATTGGATTACCACGTTCGTTTTATTGTGAGTGGAATATTTTATTCAGTGTATACAGTATAATACAATTTTATTATATTTACATCAAATTAGCATGGTATGACATTAACAAATTCCTGTTTAATTTTATTTTTTATTTCTATATTATCTAAGTCAAGCTTGATGGTTTTTTACCACAAGAGGTTGATAATCCCATTAATCTAATATCATCATCATTACCATTACAGCCCTTTATAGGCCAAATTTTTCATTGAAACATTCTCCTATTCGGTTTTATCACTAGCAACTCTTTTTCATCCTTTAACTTCAATGGATTTCTATATCCATTCAATCTAAATAGATTGGATCTGCTTACTTCGCTGCTACGTGTTCTCGGTTTTACTTTATGGTGTCGAGTCCTGGACTGTGAATCAAATCGATCTAAATCGCCTTGAGGCTTTCGAAATGTGGTGCTATAGAAGAATTTTAAAAGTTTCCTAGGTAGAGAAGATTCGAAACTCCACAAAACTAGAACGTCTCAGTAAGACTACTAAGATCATAAAAAGCATCAATCAGAGAAAGCTGGAGTATTTCGGACATGTAATGAGAGGTCCCAAATATAGCTTGCTACAAAATATCATGCAAGGACAAATAGCAGGCAAACGCAGTCCAGGACAAAGAAGAACCTCATGGTTGAAGAACTTGCGTGATTGGTATGGTGTTGATACAAGCATGCTATTTAGGGTGGTAGTGAATAAAATTAAGATAACTATGATGGTAACCAGCGTTCTGAAAGGACATGATACATGAAGAAGAAGATTCGACCTCTGAGACTCCTTATAATATCACGACTCTTGTGACAGCATTTCTGGAACGTTTCTTTAGAAGTATGTAATCTGTTTCATTTTGTAGAATATTATTGGCAAGGAAATTATTGTCAACATTAAATGGGGCTTTGCAGGTATATAGGGCTTTTTGTATCAAGGTGGATTGGGAAGTGTATACCAGGTATTTGTATTGATCCTCTCACTTCACACTATTCCAACCATTTCAATTCTTGTTCTGTCTCCTTCATTACTAGAGCAATAATGTAATTCATTACATTTATTACAAAGCCATTCTCAGAGCTATCCTACAAACTTTACTTTGATGGGATTCCATTTGGTGGAAAAATCATTCTTAATAATGGTGCTTTTTAAAACTTATCATAAGTGAAAAATCATAAAAAATTGGAAGTTACTTATATTAGTAAAAAAACTTTCAGAAAAGTGAAGACTTCTGGTGTATAATGGTAGATTTTATTAAAAATATTAAAAGGATTACAATATTTCAAAACGTTTTCGGTAAAGTCAGACCATCATCAGCGAACTTTTAAAAGTAGTTGAAACTAGCTACGTAAATAGGTGTAAAAACCTTTGAATTATATGACAATCATAATTAATAATAATGATACAATGATACGAGTTCGATGTTAAAGGATTTCACATGAAAAAAACAAAAAGTTGATTTTAAACGTTTTCACATGTTTAGGGTCTAACAGGACTCTTAGTAACTTGGACTTGGACTCCGATTTCTATGATTAGAAAGAGTTTGTAGTTGACGTGTTGATATTATGGTTATTTTCATGGGGAATTGTGGCGATATTTAATAGATTGGTTTTTTACTGTCCGTTGACTATCGATCAGCATTTGAGGCCGATTTCTCAACCCCAGGACAATAAACTATCCTACCATTTTCCAATCGATTGCATGATCAGATAATCAAAGATATCTGAAAAAATAAGAAATGCCCTAAAAAGGATAAAAACTCTGAAGAACTTTGCAGAACTGCTAAAACACGCCCTTTCGGTCTGAATACAAGAATTAAAACAAACATTTAACAAATACTTATTTCATGAAAAATACCGAAATAATAAAAACGAGCTACTTAAGCTCCTTACATAAAAAAGGGAGGCAAAAAGACCCCAATAATTATAGGGGAATTACTCTAAATCATATTGAAAGGTAAAGTACAGGCCAAAAGATTAGTTGGAAGACACCAGAACTCGTGGCTGAAAGAGATGGTTTAACACAAATCTACAGAAATTTTTCATGCAGTAATTTCCAAGGCTGCAATTGCCATTTCGATCCAACCTTCGAACGGAGACGGCATAATAAGAAGAGGAATTATAGAGAAATATGCATCGCAAAATAGAACGACGTAGAGACGTAGAAAGAAAACAGGTTTCTTGCTTAAAAACATTCGTGAATGGACTCACATATCAAACGCAGGACAATTATTCCATGTGACAAAATATCGAGAAGTCTTCGCAATGGTAATCGCCAACGTCGGATAATTCTGATATGGCACGTGAAGAAGAAGATGCGTTGCACCTTCTATGGTTACGTTGTATGACAAAATCATTAAAACAAGGATGGAGTATAGCTACGGATTTCAGAAGAACAGAGTGGTTTTCGTTCCGGATGCTCATGTACTGATAATATATTTTCTACAAAACAGGTTCTAGAAAAAGCAATAGCATTCAAAGCTGAATTGCACATTGTATTCCTGGACCTCCCAAATGCCTATGATAGTGTCCCAGTCAACAACCTGTGGAAAGCAATGGAAAATCACGGAGTAGATAACACTTATACAAATACCGTAAACACATTTTACAAATACAGTAAATGTAGAATAGAAGTCGGATAAAACTACTCAAAACCATTTAAAGTGGATAAAGGGCTACGATAAAGCTGCTGCCTATCACCAACATTATTTAAGCTTTATATATATATATATATATATATATATATATATATATATATATATATATATATAGGTAAAGAAATAATAAATCAGACTTACTCACAATCAATTTAATTTAACTATCCGACGACCGGTTTCGCTTTCTACAATATGCAAAGCATCTTCAGGTCTCGGTACAAAGTTAAACAAATGATGCCGGTACTCTATTAATAGATGGATGGTAGAACATGTTTGAAACTACTGTATATTGTTGAATGGATGCTTTGCATATTGTAGAAAGCGAAACCGGTCGTCGGATAGTTAAATTAAATTGATTGTGAGTAAGTCTGATTTATTATTTCTTTACCTATTTGAAATGGACTCACACAAGCAACAAATTCATGATATATATATATATATATATATAATATATATATATAATATATATATATATATATATTATATATATATATATAATATATATATATATATATATACACCAAAAAATTGCAACAAGAAATGTAGACAGATGAGAGTAAAAACTGACGACAACTATATCCCTAGCCTTTTGTTTGCAGATGATGAAATAATTTTAGCAGAAGGAAAAGACGGTATCGTCTACATGATAAAAATTTGGAAGAAGATTTTGTAAGAATTATGATAAAACGCAAGACAAGGTTATCGGAAACACCTTTTAAGTCCTGGAGATAAACAATTCAATAAAACAAACAACTGAATATAAATACTTGAAGGTAATTTGAACAAATACAAGATCAGATGAGACGGATATAATGAATAAAATAAATAAAGTAAAAATAATAACACGACAATTACACTTGATTATATGGAGCGACGATTTAAGTAGTAAAACTAAACACCAAGTTTTTAAAACAATTTTGAAAAGCTGCTTCACAGTTTATATCACAGAGACGTGGGTGACAAATAAAAGAAGCGAACTAATGAATGTAAAGGAAACAGTAAATGAAAATTACTTTGATATGGACATACGCGAATGATGAACGAGACACGAATACCACTAAGAACTAGGAAATTGAAACCAAACAGAAGGATAAAAAGAGGGACGAACAAATAAAAACAGCCAAGAAAAAAAAGACCTAGCTGCAGAAAAAATAAATGACAAGATAAAATGGCTGTAGAAGAAGAAGAAACAGAATATGCTGTGTAAAGCCATAGATAAGTAAGTAAATAGATGATAAAACATTGCTGAAGAAAGAACAACAGAGTTAAATTATATGATTATCATGGTAAACTGTGTGATTTTATAAAAAGATGTCGTTGGAAAATTTTGAATGGCTGAATACGTTAAAAAAAACTTTTGGTTTTTATACCAGCATGACGATAAACAATCAAAATCTTACAATTCTGATCTGCTTAGAACTAATGAGAATGTTTTGTACACAATAACTTTGGTTAGCTGTTAAAGAAGCATTCATTAACGTGAGATATTCAAGCATATTTATTGTCCAACAAAATTGTTGAATTGTACAAACAAGAAATTAAAATTAATGGCATCGCATTTTTCTTTAATCATTTTTTTTATATAACTTCAAAGTTTTATAAACAGATTAAATATATGAAGTTGGAATGAATGTTAATTTTTAATTTGGATAATTATTTATAAATTATTTTATTTGCATAAAGTCCAGGTACGTTCTTATAAGCTTCTAGTTATGGTAAGTAATGTCTTTTACGTTAGGCAAATATAATAATATATTGAATGTGGTACTATCACATTCCAGTTTTGGATTAGATTTTAGTAAATTTTGTAACTGAGAATATAGGTTAGGGTTTAGCCATTATATGTAGATGTTTGTAATTATATATAAATCTGTTAATGATAGAAATATATTTGACAAAAGCCCCCGTACATGCAACCAAC